TCAATAGCGAAAATTCCAAATGTAGTTATGAACACTATTTTTTTCTCAAATCTTTCTTGCATATGGGAATCTGGTGATACTGATGCCATGTGAAAAGTACTATTTAGACCCCTATATTATGACCAAATCTTCGTGGTTTTCATACTTTAAACATCATAATATCTTGGATTTGCTACGTGATCACTCAAAATGCATTCTAGCAGCACTAGACTTGCTTTTATCAATTTATTGCACTATTGGTGGTGTTTCGCGTGTTCCGCCTAGTATTACCCGATTTGAAGCGCAATTGCGTGGGCGGGGCATAGATTTCTACTTCCGACATGTCCCCCGCCCCATTCTTGACTCATTGCTTGAAAAGGACGTGCAATTATGTTAGACTTATGCAACATAATTTTACAATTATCACGTGAAATACAAATATATTGCACAAAGCTTATGGTACAACAATATTTCATACACAATGTTTTGATAAATGTGTTATGCAAAAATTTTGTAATGACACTGTACTTTATTTATTTCAATATCAATTATTACGTAAAAAGACCATCAGTTTTGTAATCTTTATGTGACGCATAACTACAACTATCACCGAAGATCCCAAAAAACAGGTATAAGAAGTAAAAAAAATCCAAGCCACTATAAGAATAGTAAATTCAACAGGTGATAGGAATTCCCCATAAATTTGTTGGAGTTGAAGACTCGAAATCGAGTGAAGAAGATGGGTGATTCAATTCAAGGCGAGCAGCTGAAGTGTCAATTCAGGCAGAAGGGGCACGCCTTCCAAATATTCAACAGTCATCGTTTTGTGAAAGAAAATCTGGGCGAGATCTCATAAATATGAACCACATATCTTATGAAGAAACAAGAAAAGGAAATATACACTTGGATAGAGAGTAGAGGTGTCCACTGTCTACTGAATTGCAAGAATGGGCTAATGATCAATCCGTGCAGGGCAAGAAGAGCCCCGAAAAAAGGTTGAAGAAGAAGAAAAAAGGAAAGGGTAAAAGTTGGCAGAAGAAAAGAAAAGAATGAGGAAATGAAGTTGGTTACAAGTCCTAATCCGCAGACGGTGCGGATAATTATGCGCAGTGTCTCTGTCTGGCTTTGATTTGAGCCAACAGGGGTGGCAGTGTCGGATTGTTATTATGCCTTCATTTGTATAAAAAAAAAATTTGCTAGCTAGGCTGCTAACTTAGCATTGATACTACTACTTAAATGAGATAATCATTGTTATTATTGCTCATGGAATTTGAAGTATTGCTTATGGAACCCTAAGAATGCCATATGATTGTATAGCATAATAGCACCATGTTTGTGTTTGCCAGTTGGGTTGGCTTGGCTATTGTGTGTCTATGAGTGTTTGTTGAGATTTGATTTCCTTTTTATGATGGTATTCGCGATAGTAGTTGTTTATGTACAATTCTTTATTTGATATAGTCGGAAGTTGCATGTTTAATTGTCGAAAAATTCTAATTTGAGTGAGAAGGAAAAGCTCTAACGAGAGAACCAAAAGGATTATAAAAAATAAAAAAAAGTGGAACGCATCTCAAATCGTAGTGAGAGAAACATAGAGGAAAAAACTAATTGGTCCATGATTCGATGATTATTTGTTATAGACCTGTTGGTGAAGAAAGAGGAAGGATGACCAAAATTGGTGAGGTAATTAATTGACTATTTCACATTTCTACGTCCCATAATATTAGAAATGAAGCGTAGCATAAACAATAATTGATGATGATAGTAAAAGGAAAGGAAAGGGGGAAGAAGTCGGTATCATTATTCATTAGAGGTAGCTCGAAACGGGCAAGGAAGGAAAGAGCATTCATTTCATCAACGGTCCAGGAGGAGCTGGCTACTTACTAGGCGTAGCTCCCTCTCTCTCTCTCTCTCTCATATTTTCTTTCTTTCTTTCTTTCTTTCTTTGTTTCCCCGTTTGGTTGGATCTGGTGAAAAAATGAAGCAAATCCCAGAGGCATAGGCAAATCTGGTGAATCAATCGAATAGACAGAGCCTTCTTTCTTGTCTTTCTTTGACCCCCCGCCCCCCTAATTATACGGAAATCATCCACGGAACTACAAAAAGGAAAGGAAAAAAAAAAAGTACAATTCTTTATTCTATTCCCTAGCTAGGGCTTTTAACGAACCAAGCTGTTCGCGAACGGCTCGATCTCGAACTCGATAAAAACTCGTTCGATGCAATAAAAGCTCGATTCGTTTATTAACGAGCTGAGCTTGAGCTCAACCTTGTCCGGGTCGTGAACTGGTTCGATTAGGTGGCTTGTTTAGTTCGACTCATGAACTATCTCATTTTGAGCTCGTGGGATGTCTCAACATTGTGACTAGCGAGCCAACTTGATTACGGCTTATGAGAAAATCGATCTATATCTTATGAGTTGGTTTTTGTTAATGATGCATATATGTATCAACTTGTATATCACACCTCATGTGTTGTTTAATAATTTGAATATGTGAGCAAATATGTCTAGTATATGACATGAAAATCAGTTAATCGCATGTATCATATATAACATATAAATATTAGGGTATTTAATTCATAAATTATCTTAGAGTTGAGCTCGAGCAAAATTTTTGATCCTAATGATGAGCCAAAATTCAATAAATGAGCCGGCTCGACTCAGCTCGTTCATAAACGAGCCGAGCTCGAATTCGACTCGTTTATATATGAACCAAATCTGAACAAGGCAAAACTCGATCCGATTCGACTCATACAGCCCTATGCCGGCCGAGAATCCAAGGCAGAGAAAAGGCCTTTCCTTCTTCTGCTACGGAACGGAAACAATGCCACGCCATTTTCACGGTGGGACAACAACACAAAGAATTGGTCAATGCGGCAGCTGGAATCAAATCATTGGAATTTTGGATCGCGAGCTTCCATTCCAATGCCCTATCCACGAATCCAGCCCAGCCCATTGGAACCGGTATGCTTACCAAGCCCATTAGAGAATTCGTGGAGCTTGCCACATCGGCTGAGAAGACGAAAACGTTCACCTCGACGAGAACACGTCACTTAACGAGCAGGCCACTGGTCTGCTCTGTTATGCTCTGTTTTTCTATGGAAGTAAAGTTCATTCTTCCTTTTGTTTCTTTCCAGTGCTTGTGAAGCAGAAGTCGTCGCCTTGATCCGCCGCATGTATGTTTCCTTCATTACCGTCTTCCCTTCCAGCATATCTTCGATCCTTGATCTGTTTAACGTTTGGCAAGACAGCTCCAACCGTTATTTGAGGAGAAAGATTCTGTTGGAGGAGGTTCTTTGGCATTCTCCATACATATAGAAAGGACATGAGTATGTGAGAAACGAGGGGAATCTTTTTGGTCTTGTGTTGTTCTTCTGGTGGATTCATATGAATAGTTTGGCTGTGGACTTTACTTGCAAGAATTTGAAACTTGGGCTATCTGCCTGACATTTTGTTTGTTAGTTGAAAATGCAAAAATGGAAGCCAAACAGTAGCCATGACAAAAGATGAACTACACATAAGTTACGGGAACAAAACGGTCACGAATTTCATTTTTGTGGAATGATTGCACTTTGCGGTCATACATGCAATTGTGGTCCAAACCACACTAAATCGCTAACTTATGCGGTTTAGTTGGACCGCATCAATTAGCTTATACTAGTCTTATATATAGTGCAATGCGGTATGACTAATTTGCAATGCGCTTTATATCAATGCGGTGCGGTTCAATGCTCATGCCTAGCTGCCCCTGGCTGACCCATCCGAGACTCGGAGTCGGAGCTACCTATTTAGAATTTTAGACCAGAAACACCACAGTACAATGACATTAGACCAAAACACTCTGCGCTCCAGCATATGCAAAATCTCATATAATCTCTACTCTGACTAGGGATATCAGCGAACTTTAAGATGAGAATCAACTTCAGCGACGTTTCTGTTGCCTTGGCATGAATAAGAATGCAGGAGTTGTCAACTCTTTCCACTCTCAACTAACGATCCAGCTAACCCAAACCAGATGCCATAATCCACCCTCGGAACGGAGAGCATTGAGCAATAAGAGAGATCACCTCTCCCTTTCAACCAAAAATCCGAAATACCAAAGACTTAAAATAAAACACCCATTCACTGCAACAGAACTACTAGCATGGATACAACCCGAGTGTTCAGGTAGCAATCCAAGTCCAAGTCAATCACAAGTTTCAAGTTTCAGCATCAAACATTTTAGCTCTACGCTTCTGGCGTCAGATTTGGACACACAACAACTGCTGACCATCTATGACATCTATACTCTAAGCTCCATTCCAAAGCAACAACCAAATTCCTTAACAGTGAGTTTGGATGTATAGGCACTGAAATGTAGGGTTCTTAAGCTGCCCTTAGCCACCCAAAAAAAGCAATCCTGTAACTGCCCTGACTATGAAATCCAGTACTGACCATCATCAGCAGTCAAAACCACAAAAACTACATGTCTACAGCTTCTCCATCTTGGCTCTACAAGAACAAGCAATTAGCATCACAGCAAGGAATTCCATGCCTACAGAAGGATTACATGCCGACAGCTTGTCACTTTTGGCACCACAAGCACACCAATTACCTAAGAGACTATCAAGGATCCTACAACTTCTTTCCCTCCAATTCCCCATCCATTCATGATCCATCATTGTCCAGGAACATTCCAACATGACCAAGAGAAGAGTTCCAAAATCCGAATTCTACCTCGACCACAAATTGAGCACTAAACCTAGAACCTAAGAGAACTAAACCAAGAACTAAGAACTATACTAACCACATCAAATTCCGAGTTGGACAGAAAACAATCAACCAACAATTTAAGGCTATGGACTAGCGCTCTCAGCTAATAATTAGCAATAGCATCAGCAAAATTCCATTGACCTGCTACCCAATAACACAAGGAAATCAAACCAACACTTGTTTTCCCGAACCCTGCAATAAAGAAACAACATTTCAGAAATTCCATAACTTTCCTACACTTACTCTACCAACCTCTTTCACCTCCAATTCTCTCTCAGCTCCTGGACCAAGCCTTCTCTGTGTCCACTTTATCCGAGAAGAACTTGGTAGCAAACATATTGTCAATGAAATACTCTCTGTAAGGATGATTCTTGGGAACCAGCTTCTTGAATTGCTCAAACTTCTTCTCCGCCTCTTCCCTCTTCCTCATAAGAGTGTATATGATCCCTTGGCACAGATATGGCCGGAAGTCCCTCGGCTCCTCTTTCACCAACTCATCATACACGTTCAGAGCTTCCCCGTACTTCTCTTCCATCACTCTAATTTGAGCCAACAGCAACTTGAAGTCCCTAGCATCAGAAGCATTCTTCTCCTTCTTGCACCTGTTCATGGCTGATTCAATTCGCTTCATCACATCGCTCATGGACCGCCCATCTTCCGAATAGGCCATCACCAGGCCGTGATAAGCCTCCACCCGAAGCGGGTCCTTCTCCAGCACTTCCTCGAAGATCTTCGTAGAAGAGTCGGAGTCGCCACTGTAGCTGTAAATTTGGGCCTTGAGCAGCTGCCACTCGTCGTCGTCGGGCTCCAGCTGCATCAGGCGGTCGATTACCCCAATTGCTTCGGGAAGCTTCCGGGACTTGATCTTGAGCTCCATCAGAGCCCTTAGGGCGTCGATGTCGTCTGGATGTTGGGCCAGGTGCTCCTCCAGGGCTCTCTCTTCTTCGGCCAGAGAGGAGCCATTATCCTTCTGTTCCGAGGCGGCCTCTCCGGGCGCAGGCTCCACCAAGGGAGGCGCAGCGATCGGGGAGGCAATCGCCGGTTTGGTATGCAGCCGGGAGAGGAATAGTGCGGCGGCGGCTGTTAGAGTGATGCACGCGGTTTTGAAGATAGGGTTCAGGGATTCGCCCGGGGAAATCCTAGGGTTCCGATGGAGGGGAGCGCCCGAGGATGAAGCCCTGACGGTGGAGAGTTTGAACGGCGAGGAGGAGGATGGCGGCGGAGGGGTATGGAAGGAGAGCGAGGAAATAGGTTTAGGGAAAGATAGACGGTTGGAAGGAAGCGAGAGATGGAGAGGTTGGCGAGCGCCGTGGATAGTGGAGAGAGAAGCCATGGCGTTTGGAGTGTGAGATTCAGACGGAGGGATTGGAATTTGGAGAGGAATGAGAAGAAGGACGGGGAGAGAAGAAGGGCTACTAAAACCCTTGGGGATGAAATGGAAGGAGAAGGCAAACAATCTGATCAAAAACCCTGTCTCAGGAAGAGGAGAAGAAGAGAGGAATATGCGGCTTAATGCCGTATTCCGTTTAACAGTGCTCAGACCGACGGCGGCATTTTGGATGTAGGCATGGCAGAGGCCGTCCAGTCTGTTAGTGGGCCAAAGCCATGGGAATGGGCTTGTCAAACTATTAAATGAGCTGGAATTAACTGTTGGGTTTTATAAAATAGGCTTTTGTCAACAGCCCAAAATCTATACCCATATTGTCAACAAAAAAAGAAGGCCCAAGTGTTCCCAGACTTGGGACGCTAAATGGGGGGCCTTTGTATGACGTTAGATGACGATGTGTAACGGATTTTTCCCCCCAAAATGCAACATTTTTTAAATTCTTTTTCATTATATGCGAGTTACATCAATTTTTTTTAGGGCTAATACCACTACAACACCCGAACTATCGCGAAAATGCCATTTATGTCCTATTGTTTTAAATATTCCATTCATGTCCTGAACTATGATACTTTGTGTCATTTGTATCCTGACTATTTCGTTGACCGTTAAAGATAACGGTTGACCAAACGGTGGTCAAAGCAAAGTTGACTATTGTTGACGTGGCAAAATTGTGGTTGCCACATAGATGCCACATCATTGACACCTCATATTTTTAATTTAAATTAAATAAAAAATATATTTTTTGTAAATTTAACTTTATTATTAAGCCAAAAATTAAAAAAAAAACTCTTGGTATTCTTCTTCTCTACCAATTCACCCTCTCTAATAAATCTCCCAAGCCAGAAAATCTGCCCACCAGTTGAGACCCGCTCCCGTGAATCCGACAGATGATTGCAACTGAAGCTTGTTGTCGTTCACATAGGGGAGGATGGATCTGGTCTGGTAGCAAAACAGATCAGATTTCAAAGATGAAAAAATAACCTAGGCACCAGATCGAATCCCCAGGCCTAGTGTTTTTACGGCGACGGAGAACCTTGAGGAAGATACAGCAGAGGTGGAGGAACCGGGAGAGGTAGTAGGCGTAGGCCCAGAAGAAGACGCGTGCCGATGGGGAAGCATAAGAGCCATTGGATGGCGTTGTAGTTCTTCGTACGGCGACGCCACAACCAGCGGGTCTCGGGAATCTCGACGGCGGAAGAAAGAGGGTGCCGCCGAAGATGTTGGCGGAGATCAGGGGCATGATGATCACCAATTACCTCACGAATCCCTTGTTCTCATTTTGCGGATTCGACTTCTTTTACAAAAAGAAACCCCCAATTTCCATCTTGAGGGGGCATTCGTTCTCTCCTAACTAGAAAAGAGGATTTGAATCTTTGCAACTGGGATTTAAATGGAGGGACTGGTGATTCTCTGTTCAATCATGGGTTAGGGATCTGGGAGGCCATATAATTGGGGAAGAAGGAGGGGAGTAGATCGACGGTGAGGGAGATAGGGTGGAGGAGGGAGTAGATCGACAGGGTATTGGGGTTGTTTAAGAGGATTGGGGGTTTGGTGGGTTACGTTTCTGTTAAAATGTAGAGATTTGTGTGGGTGGGATGAAGGGATTAGTGGGTTAGGTTTTTATTTTATTTTATATTTTAATTATTTCCTTTTTCTTATTTTATTAATATTAGATGGAAAAAATTAATATTAAAAATTCCACGTCAGATGCCACATCAGTGCTGACTAGATTTTCTGTTAAGAACTAACGGTCAACAAAAGTCAACACTAACGGAATCATAGTTCAGGACACAGATGGAATATTGGAAACAATAGGACATAAGTGGCATTTTCGCGATAGTTCGGGTGTTGTAGTGGTATTAGCCCTTTTTTTTAAAAACACACAAATTTCTAACTAGATCACTACTCATTTTAGCGATTTTGTAAATGATCACTGAAAGAAATTATGATCAAAGTGGATTACAGAAAACAGAAGCGATCAATAACTTCATCGATCAAATCTCAACATTTAATTGCAAAACGTTGCACTTGGCAGTGATGAGGGTTGTTCACTCTAGAAGCACGCGATTCTTGCATACGAAATGACATGGATCGCTCCACTCTTGTGTGATAAAGGAGGCGTGGCGGTTGATCACTCGGCTTAGAGAGGATTTGTAGCGTAACTTTCTTATTGTTCCGTCCCTCGTTACGTGGATCTCTGAAGAGGAAGAGGACATCTGATGATCACATTCCAGATCAACAACCTAAATTGGTCGCTCCTTCATGGTGTGATCCCCCTAGCCACCCCAAGCTTATAAATACTCTCCTCGTTTCCTTCTTTACTCGCAACACTCTTCACTCTTCTCTTCTCTTCTTTCCACCAGACAAAGAAAATCTTAGTATGTTCAATGGTTGCGGCTAAATGATAGCGTTTGAGCAACAATCATTACCATATATAACTCAATGCTTTACTACTCTAGTACTACACCTAATCAATTCGACTATATCTTAGTTAGACTGCGTATGATAGTGGCATGGGGCCGTATTCCTTGGGAACTTTAGGTATACTACTACTATTTATCTCAAGCTACTATTTAATCAACAAGATGGAAGTTTTTGAGTGTGAACTAAAAAAAATTTGACACGAATGAAACAAAAATCACTACTAGGGAGATCAGTAGAGGTAAAGTGTTTCTTAGGGTTGTAACCTTGTAGAAATGGATCAATATGAGATGATGCAAACCATATAATGCTTTCCTATTGTAAATTGCTAAGAAACACTGGGGTCGTTTGGATGGATCAATCTAGAAATTAGTCAATTTGATCAATTGTCTCATTTTATAATCGATGCAATAAAACGAGTCAATTCGAATTACCTGCCACCACCCCAGGTAATTGAAATTGACTTAAAACGGATCAATTCAAAATACCTTAGGCAGATTGATCCATCCAAAATTTTTATTGGCAAATGAGGCAATTTGGTACAATTGTCTCAAAACAAGACAATTGTGTCAAATTGACGAGTTACAATTCCTCATCCAAACGACGCTAATAATCAAGGCAATGGTTATGCACTTGATTTCACTTCTAAAAATAAGTTGTCTCAACGGTCATGCAGTCAAATAATCCCCTGGAGCTTTAGGTTTAGACCCTCAAAGACAATGGAAATGAGGCTACAACTCAATGGTCATGCATATTATAACCTTACTCTATTGATAGGTATGTGAGGATCTTTTCCTTTATGCATACAACACCAAACATGTAATCCCAAGGAGTCATTATTCTCATTGATATTACTTGCCATTAGCACGAATGAAATTGTAGGGAAATATTCCAAAATTAAGGAAAAATAAAGAGAAGATTGTTGTCAAGCAAAGCAGTATACAAAAGAAAGCAACAAGACAAACATACGGAATGTGGCAGAGCAAACATATACAAAGAAAAGCAATTACTCTGTGATCAACGATAGGTGTGAGAAAATGATAAATGTTCATTCTTTGCATTTCTTGAGTGTTATGAAATTTGTAGGTTATCTCCTTAGCATGAGCTTATGAGGAATAGAGGAAGTTTTTATATTGCTCTATTCTTGTCAGTAGTTTGAGTTCCATCCAAAAGGAATTCAACTTGGAGTTAGACAGTGAATGAGATTTAAAAAAAAAAAACCTAGACAACTAGGTCTTAAATTGTGAGCCACCTTTGAGCTGAGACGTAGGAAATAAGATGAACTCGACTGGTTAATAAAAAAACAATGTGTCATTATTGTCCATTCATTTACATTTGCTTGCTTGTTTTGCTCTTAACACATACTTTGTTGTGTTATATATCTACATAACTGCCAAGACTAAGAAGTTGGTTAAGTTATAAGTTAAGAATGTAATAAGGCTGGAGCAACGAACATGGATTAGTTAACCTTGTTTAAGAGAAAATAAATTTATGAGATTACTCCTATTTAGTGCTGTCAACCGGTCGGTTTCGGTTTAACCAAAAACCGATTTCTCGGTTTTCGGTTAAACCGAGACCAGACCAGCCCTTACCGTCCACCGACCGACCCTGCGCATCGGTTATCCGTAAAACCGACCGGGCGGTTTCGGTTAATGCACGGTTAACCCGTCGCGACCGAGAAAAAAGAAGACGGTTAAACCGGCGACCGAAAACCGAACGGAAACCGGCCGAAGAGACAAAGAAAACCATTAAACACTCAGCCAGAAACAATGTTGTTTGTCTGTTGTTCAAAATCAAAGACCCATTAAGAAAAAAAACACTGGAAAAGAAGTATACTTAATCGCTACTTGCCAAAATTATCCATCCAGAGATTCAAATTTAAAAAACAAAAAAGAAAAGAAGAAATTGAAACAGGGGGCCGGGGAAGGAAGAGATGGAGTTGGAATCGAACAAGGGAAGCAGAAGGATGGGGGATGGAGGAGGAGGAGGGATGACCAAATCGATGAAGAAATGGACTCGAATGGAGGCGCCGCCGCGCGATTGGTGACTGGGCTGGCGGCGATTGGTGACTGGCGGCGGCGATTGGTGACTGGCGGCGCGATTGGAGGCTGGCTCGGCGACTGGAGGCTGGCGGGCTGGCGGTAGAGGGTGGCCCGGCGACTGGAGGCGCGGCCGGCGATTGGTGACTGGCGGGCGGCGGCTGTGTTCTGGCCGACGATGGCGACTCTGGTGGCCGCGGATTTCGCCAGTAACGAGAGTCGAGAGGTTGAGGATTGAGGAGGAGGAAGGAAAAAGATAGGGATGGCGGATGGGTTCTGGACTTCTGGTGGCTGTCGACGATACGCGAGTGACTAGGTCTAGGGTTAGGGTCGTTTCTCCCCAGGCCATAACGACGTCGTATTTCTCGGTCGGTTAGAGCCGGTTAGCCGGTTAACCGGCTTCGGTTACTCGGCTAACCGGCTGACCAGACCCAATTCCCGACCACCGACCGAGACTACTTCCCTTCGGTTTTCGGTTAGCCGCTAACCGGCGGTTACCGGTTAGACCGGCCGGTTAGCCGCTAACCGGAAACCGAGTTGACAGCCCTACTCCTATTATAAGTATGTAGTTTTGCTATACTTGCGTAACGTTGCGTCGCGCTCCCCAACTCCCTCTTCGTGGATGGAGGAGTCACTCTTTTCGTTACTCTCTAGGCGCCGCCTTCACCACCTACCTCGTCTCCCTCGTGAGTCATTGTATCATTGCGGCGGCCGAGTAAACACGATACAATAAAATCAAAATAAATGGCGAGACGATATAATAAAATACCTAGGATACGATATGCTAAGGATGGGGGCCGGCAATGTCATGCAGCTAGCTGCCCCTGAAATTATTGGGATCCGATGACCCGAAAATTGTATATTAATATTATATATATAAAAATGGCATCCATCCCCCGCAATTTCGATCACGGGGTGATGAGTTGACAATTATTAATTATAAACCCACTAATTAATCAATAATTAGTAGCCCTTGGATCAATCAATCTGATGCTGACGACGCTGGATCCGAGTAATTGGAGATTAGGGCTTTAATACGCCGCTCCCTGCCGGCAGGCGGCGTCGACGGCGCCGGCGCCGATGATGATGATGTGCGGTGGTTGTGATAATAAACTTGGAAGAAACCCGGGTTCTCCTTCTCAAGCTCCATCCACACCGTCGAGGTGACCGCCGGTTTGATGTTGGCGTGCTTCGACAGAGCTTCCATGCACTCCTCTTTGCTCATCTTCAACACCAGGCACTCCTCTATCAGCCTGTGCACCTGCAATTATCTCTGTTACTTCAGAATTCAGAGACAGCAGAAATTGAGAGATTGAGAGAGATACGAATCGAGTTACCAAGTGTATGTACGACGCGGGAGACTCATCCATGGCTTTCTGAATCGAAGATGATGTGTTTAAGATATAGAGAAGAGTAGAAGATGCCAGAGCCGAGAGGAAAGAAGCGGTGGGTTAGAGAGAGAGGATAATAATAACAACTAGAGATCCTGTCAAAAGAAAAAACAATGGCGGTTGTTCTGCGATTTGTATCAGTGCCCCAAATTTGGAAACTTTTCCGCTATTCGTAAAAAGGCAAAAAAAACATTTATAAAGGTTAAATACCCACCGAGGTTGTTAACCCGGTTGATCTGCGGGTTGATCCAAATTCGATGCGAAAAATAGGCGTTACATACTTGTTTTGGACTTTGTATATGGATTTGTCATACTCACTTTAATTCGGGTAAATCGAGCAAAATCAACTTCAACCTGGTCAAAATTAGATATAATTGGTCAATGTTCGATTGTTCAATATAAGCATGTCGTAATCTTGAGATTTCAATCCTGTAGAGTAAAAAAGAACAAATGACGAGTTCTATCTATATTTCTTAGATTGTTCCAGTTCATTCAAGGTGTCCATTACGAACTTATATAATGAATTTAAGTGTGTTTGAATTTTTAATATAAGATGGATTCACTTACCAACTATTATTTTGGTGTAATGTTATATGTTATAACTGTTATTTTAGATAATTAATATACAATATAATTTATATATGTAAGGACTTTTCATATATGAGAACTAAAACAAACTAAAATAATTAGAATGCTAACCCTTCATCGAGTTCTCTACTGACCAACAAGCTAAACTAGATTGACAACCTTAATATCCAATTACCCACCCAATTCCTTGTTTTTTGTATAGTGAATCAAATTAGGTTGCCAGTGAAAACGTACGTAAAACTAATAAAGTAATAATGATCTTACTTACCAATAAAATAATAAAATAATAATGACACCTACTTAGTGATAATAATGCAGGATGATGTCATTAGGCGATGGTGCCACAGACCCACGTGGGAGGAGGCTGCGGATTGGTCGAGACGAGATTAGGGCCGGAGCTTGTTTTAACAAACTACGAACGGAAGCAGGCTATTTCCCTTGTCTCATTGTACAACCCCCACGTGACGCCTGGGCCCACCACATACCAAATGGGAAAACCAAGCAGTAAACCACTCCGCCCTAGGCCCAATCCCCTTCCTTATTATTCCCATTCTTCATTCGCCCCGAACCTACAGAAAGAACAAATAATCAAGATTTCTACCGTTTGCCTGGGTAAATGTCACACTTAATCACTGAGATTACTAAATCGTATTATGTTTAGTCATTATAAAAATTGTAGTCCTTAAAAAGTTATGCGAAAAAAAAAAATTCATGTCGTTTGGATTTTGGAGCACAAAGTTATGGTTGTCCAAAGTTTGACGAAATCGGAAAAAAGCTCGTTCGGGGTAGCAAACGACATTTTTTGGGACGAAGGCGGGACCAAACCACCTTCGGCAGTCTTCGGCTTGCAAGATCTCAAAATGTTATGCGGAATCAAAAAAAAATCGTGACGATCGGATACCCGAACACAAAGATACGTTCGTTTGAAGTTTCCACCTAGGTTAGCATTTTTCAAAAAAAAAAAAAAAAAAGCAGACTGCATGGTGGGGGTGCGGTCTGTAACCAAACCGCATGGTGGGGGTGCGGTCTGCAAAACCGCCCCCCTACCAGTGCGGTTTTCATCGAAAAACGCGCCCCGGGTAGCGGTTTCCGCCTAAACCGCTGGTACGGGTGTTGGTTTTGCAGAAATGGTGCTATTTTTAAAATTTTTCAGAGTTGGATGCTATTTTTGGATTTTTTTATAACAGTGCTATTTTTGGAAAAATTCCCATTTAGTCACTCTCCCGTTAGCCTCCGTCCAACTCCGGTCACTCGAGTTACTTTTTTTTATGAATATCATTGGAATTACTGAAACATGTCACATTTAGTCACTCTCTGTTAGCTTCCCTCCAACTCCGTTAATGAAGTTGGACGAAAACTAACGGAAGAGTGACTAAATGTGACATGTTTCAATAATTTGAGTGACCAAAATTGATATTAAATTTTTCTAGTGACTAAACATGACATAATTTAGCAATGTGAGTGACCAAATGTGACATTTATCCTTTGCCTTGGAGATAATTGGAGATATTGTTTACAATAATTCTATTTTATGTTTTCTTTTATTATATGTTGAACAAGGAAAAGGCTAGTATGCTAACACTTTTTTTTTACCATGGTACTAACACTATCTTCAGCCAATATTTTTTTTTTTTTGAACAATGGTAACTTTCATTCCATCCGAGCAAGCAAAGAAAAGAGTTCATTACAACAGTGGAGCAATAATATTAGAAACTATAATCCAATCCACTGGTAACGCTTCCAATCTAGCTTGACAAGCAACCCAAACCGCCAACATGTTCAACCGCCTTGAGACGAACTCGATGCGAATCCAAGGCGAAGAGGACAAGATGGAAGTCATCCGTGCAAGGGAAGCTTGACAAAGCCAAGGCCAGGAGGCCGGATCCTGATGCAATGCAAGAGTCAGCACTTGACAATCTGAACGAATGCAAGTAGGAACTAGATCTTGCGCTGCAAGCAAGATAGCATTAAGGAGCCCAAATGTCTTAGCTTGAATCGAATGAGAACAAAAGAAAGACTCAGCCTTGCCATCATTAGGGTTGGCAACGGGGCGGATCGGGGACGGGTAGCTAGTTCCCGTTACCCATCCGTCAAGGCTGACGGATTTCCCCGTCCCCGTCCCCGTCCCCGTCCCTTTGTCGGGGCACGTTTGGTTTCCGTCACCGTCCCCAGACGGATTCGGGTTAACCACGGATCACCACGGATCCTGAGTAAATTACAAAAAAAAAAGGAAAAAAACTAATAAAAAATTCCTGAAATTCAAACTTCACATTACCTTGATGTTCAAGGCACATAAATTCAACACACAAAAGAGAAGATCTGGGGCTGTAACCCTCCCACCACCCAACACCCAGATCTTCAATGTTCAAACAATGAAACAAAAGTGATAGGTTGCAGCAACCAAACAAGCTGCTGCAACCAAAACCCACCACCCAAAACCCATATAACATGTTCTTCACTAATCACTACACTAGTGTTCAAGTTCAAAACTCAAAAGGAAGAGATAAAAAACAAAGGCAGACAGCCTCAATAACATCACTAAGAAATCGAACTAAAACCTATACTAATAGCACACACGAGTTCCTTTGATCTTTTCTTCCAAAAAGTAAGCAACACCATGCTGCTGGAAACCAACTCAACACTCAACAGCAGCATTCATCCTTGAAAAATGAAAAGCAATCACTGCAAGAAACAGAGTAGCAAACACAGTTAGATAAGTGAAAGTCACCTTTTAAATTGAACAAGTTAAAAGGCTCAAGTCTAGCTCAATACCTTGAACCTTTCATTGCATTGAACAAATCAGTCGTCTAGGGATATTAGATGCTTCCTCATCACAAGTCCCCCCTGAACTGTAAGAATAAAAAATTACAGTTAGAGATTGAAACTATCAAACTAAGTACCAATCTAAATTGAACTAATTACCAGCTTCGTCTTGATCTTCAGTACTGGAATCTGAAATTGCTAGAGCAGAGAACACCCCTTCCATTGCCTCTACAGCAGCCTTCGATGATTCTGCAGATTGAAGAAAACAATGAAAAAGACAATTAATAAACAATCAAGTTAACATTTTAATGAAAAAGACAAGTAATTGCAGATTACCTTGTTGCATTTCCTCCATAATCCAACTTCTGGTACACATCATTGCCTCTATTGTATCATAGTGCAATCTACTCCGATGAGGGTCTATTAACCTCCCACCAGAGCTAAAAGCAGATTCAGAAGCCACTGATGTAATTGGTATGGCCAAGAAATCCCTTGCAATTGCTTGCAAAGTGGGGTACTTAAGGCCATTCAGTTTCCACCACATCAGTATATCAAAGTCAGGAGACCTTTTAGGAATCAGTTCCTCAAGAAGATAGTGATCCAGTTCAGTATGGACCAGAGTTGCTTTGCTTTTTTTCCTCCGACTCACAAACAGTTCAAAATCAAGATCATCATTTGCAGGAGTAGAAGAACTATCATAAGCAGTTGAAGAACCAGAATTGTTCCTCTCAGACTTGGTTTGGTAATCAAGCACCAAACCACAAATACATTGCTTAATCTTATCAGCCACCAAGTCAGTATTAGTACTGCCAAACTTAGCAGCATAATACTCAATCACATGCAACTTGTATCTAGGATCAAGAACCACTGACACAGCGAGAACCAAGTGTATATCATCCCAATACTTAGAAAATTTCTCCCACATACTCTCAGCCATAGCCGAGATAAGAGAATTGGTATCAGCACACCATTCCAACAATTTCAGTCTCAGATCACAAACCTTGGGGAAAAACAAATTAGCAGTGGGATACTTGCTGCCAGAAAACAGCTTTGTGATCTCACTGAAAATTTCCAGCTTATCAATGACCATAGCAGCAAACTCCCAGTGCATACTAGTAGGGACAGTGGTGTATTGACTATCCCACTGCCTCAAACGAGAGAAAACATCTCTATACACAATGGCTGTAGATAGCATATCATAGGTGGAGTTCCACCTAGTTGGACAATCAAGCACAAGTTGCTTCTCACAAGGCACTTTAAGCTGCTTAGCAGTTTCAAAGAAGGTTTGTACCCTCTTAGGAGTGGACTTCCAGTACACAACACTATCTCTAACCAATTCAATGCCATCTTTGATGACTTCCAACCCTTCTTTCACAATGAGATTCAAAACATGAGCAGAACATCTCATTTGAACCAGCACACCATCCAACAACAGATCATCACTAGCAAGTTTAGTTTTCATATGAGTAATCATGGCATCATTGGTGGTACAGTTATCCAAGGTAATCGAGGACAACTTTCTATCAAGATTCCAACCAAGCAAACACTTGAACAACCTATCTCCCAACCTCTTACTAGTATGAGGGGCAGGGACATAGATGAAACTCAACATCATGTTTTTAAGTTTCCAAGAATTGTCAATAAAATGACCAGTAACGGCCATATACCCCATCTTTTGGTTAGTTGCAGTCCACATATCAGTTGTGACTGCAACTCTACCAATATTACCATCTAAAACCTTCTGAAGCTTTGCCATCTCAGCCCCATATAAAGCAAATATGTCCCTCTTCACTGTATTTCTACAAGGGACAGTGAACTGGGGTTGCAAAGAACAACAGAAACGTTTAAACCCCACATGTTCAACAATGTTCAGGGGATACTCATGCACCATAATCATAGAGCACAATTCCTTCCTAGACACATCAGAATTGAATTGAGTAGCAGATAGGAGGGGTTTTCCAGTTGGTTTATAATCAGGACCAAGAACTCTCTGCCTACCATCATGTATCTTTCTTTGGGTGCAAGTTTTGTAATGGTTCCTCAAGTGGGAGGTTCCATTACTAGTATCACCACCTAAACGTTTTCGACAGTATTTACACTTGGCTTTAATCTCCCCATTAAACTTGACCCTCACAAAATGTGGCCAGACATCAGAAGTCAATTTACGATCTTCAGCCAGAATTATTTCAACATTTTCATTCCCAGAACCATTAGCATCATTCCCAGAACCATTACCATCATTCCCAGAACCATTAGCATCATTCCCAGAACCATTACCATTAACATTGCCATTACCATTACCATTACCATTACCATTACCATTACCATTACCGTTTTGATTAGAAGGCACAGTAGGATCATTCGCATTCAAAGCACAATTTTCAGTAGCACCATCCATCTACATAAACAATTAAATAATTGCATTCAATCAATCAACCAAAACTATAAACTACCCAGACAAATCACACAACACAACACACAATACAAATTACAATCGACTAAATCGAGAGTTGAATTGGACCAATAAAAAAGGAAAGTCTTCGATTGGAAGTTACCTGTAATCTGGAGAGGGACTGAGGGAGACTCTGTTCACCAGACTGCAGATGGTGAGCACTGAGCTGATGCCTCGAATGATAGACACAGCTGATGCCTCGAATGCGAAGCTAAACAACTCCCAAACAAAGCCAAAAAAACAAAAGAAAATTAGCATGCATGCATCGAATGATAGACACAGCTCATGAATCTGGAAAAATAATGGGTTAAGTTTGTGCTTACCTCGACTGTGCTCTGAGCAGAGTGCAGGTAATGGGTTTAAGGAAGAAGGCTGACCAGTGACCTGAAATTAATCGAGGGGTTGATTTATATACGAGAAGAAGGAAGAAGGCAAGAAAGTTGCAGCAGAATACGAAGGGAAAAGGGGGAGAAGGAACTTATCTCGCTCGATGTGCGATATCACGTCGATTTCCCCCAATAGCTGCAAATCGAAGATTGCAGCGGGCAATTTAGGGCTCTGCATGCTGTTTCCCGACGAAATCGCCGGCAAAACTTGCATCCAATTGGCCAAAATGAGAGATAATGATTGCCAGTAGGCAATCATAATTGTATAAAGAAGCTGGATTGGGAGGAAATCGTGGGGAACAGAGAGATTTTTGAGGCGGATTAGATGTTTGGAGATTCGATGGAGATTGGAGAGAAAGAAGCTAGGGTTTCGGGAGGTTCTCGAAGAGGAAGATGAGAGGATTAGAGGAATGGGAGCAGTCGTTTGGGACGGCGGAGAGTGGAAAATGAGAGATTAGGGTTTGCTGCTGCTCGATTTTTGGTTTATATACGATGTCTAAGCGACGTCGTTTTATTATTCGGGGCGGGGGCGGGGCGGATACCACTAATACCGTCCCCACCCATCGCCCGCGATCCACGGGTTTCGGGTAAATCCGAATCCGCCAAAAGCCCACAGCGGACGGATTTTTAGGGTGTAATTCGGGCGGGTTTCGGGTGGATACCCGCTGGGTCGGTCAGGGTTGCCAAGCCTAGCCATCATACACTTGACCCTGAGGATTAGCAATAGTAATCCCATATGCCACCGGGAGGGATTCTGAGAAACGAGCCGTCGCAGTGGATCACTTGGGAAGTAGGCGGTGGTTCAATGTTGTGATGGGAACCCCTTGGCTGAGAAAACAAAGGAGGCTGAGTTCATTTTGGGTAGGATGTTCATTGGGTCAGAGCTCAGGACAATAAGGTTTGGAGTTGGGCTTGGGACTTAGGAGAATAGGAGTGAGGCTGGTTGAGATGTGGGTTGGACAATGGACACTTGAGCTAGCTTGGGTTCGGTTCGTTGGAATGCGGTTTCGATTTGGATTTTCAGTGGAAAGAAAAAGAGCGATTCCATTTCGCGAACTCATTCCAAAGGGCCAACTAGAGAGAAGTCTCCCCGCCGTCGGCCGCCGCTGGGCTTAACTGAGTTTAGGTAATCGGTTGCCGAATTGGATTTTATTACAGCTCACAGAACGACAAAGAACGGCTCCGACCTCCCGCACACCAACTCTCAAGCCATGGCTATAGCCGCCACCATTTCGCTCTCTGTCTCTCCGACGACTCGCCATTCCGCCGCCGCCGCTTTCAACCCCTTCCGATCCTCTTCCTCCACAACAGTTTCCGTTTCCTTCTCCCCCGCCCTCCGGATAACCTCTCTCCGATCAAGTATTCCATTTCGAAACCCTAGCTTCCGCGTTTCGGCCACTTCGATGAGCATCCAAGCTCCCCAGCAAACATCCTCGACTTCATTCCTCGATCGAAGAGAGAGCGGCGTCCTCCACTTCGTCAAGTACCACGGCCTCGGCAATGACTTCATCCTGGTAAAATCTCTTCTCCTGCCGCGATTCTCTGTTTTGCATTCGCTACATAATATGATGAACTGTTGTTGGGAGCTCTTCTGTTTCTGTGAACAGCTCGACATTGGAATCAGTTCTGTTTAATTGTCTGTGACTGATTATCCGGAAAATTCAATCAGGTGGACAATAGGGGTTCTACTGAACCTCGAATTAGTCCGGAGCAAGCTAAGAAATTGTGCGACAGGAACTTCGGCATTGGCGCGGATGGAGTGATATTTGCCCTGCCAGGGACCAATGACACTGATTACACCATGAGGATCTTCAACTCTGATGGTAGTGAACCTGAAATGTGTGGCAATGGAGTACGGTGCTTCGCCAGGTTCATTGCTGAGTTGGAGAATTTACATGGGAACCACAGCTTTAAAGTACATACGGGTGCTGGGTTGATTGTTCCAGAAATTCAAGGTGATGGGAAGGTGAGGGTTGATATGGGCGAGCCAATACTGAAAGCAGCTGATGTACCAACTGGACTTCCAGCAAATAAACAAGAAGCTGTCGTTAAATCGGAACTGGATGTGGATGGGGTAACCTGGAATGTGACTTGTGTCAGCATGGGAAACCCTCATTGTGTGACTTTTGGGACCATAGAAAACAAGGTATGCACACTTTAGCTCGTTGTTTTAATGCATATAGACTTCTTGAATTGGAAAGAAACTGTGATGGGTTATATGATCTTCCATTCTGCTGAAATCTTCTGGATGATGTGAGAGCAGCCATCTTTGCATCTTACATCATAAGTCATGGGAAAGATTTCGGAACAATGATATTGGTGCTGTCCATATCTATTTATGTTTCTTCACCTGTACATTCGGTTATATTCCTTACTTTGTCTTGTGCTGTTGTCGACCAGGGCCTATTGGTTGATGAGCTAAATTTGGCTGAAATCGGCCCTAAATTTGAGCATCATGTTATGTTTCCTGCACGAACAAATACAGGTTAGACTTTTCCTCTACTCTCTAGTGTTCAACTGCATTTATTCTTTCCTAACCGTCACCTGAACTTGTCCCAAAATGTGTTGTTGCTCCCCAAGACCTTCTATACTTCCACAGTATAAATGGCTCAGATGTTGTCTACATGGGTGAAGAAAAGAGTCTTGGGTTGAACGGCGTGGTTTGAGACATTCTTATCTGCTACGATTTTCAGCATGTGGACCTCTTCTTTGTGCTGCTGCGTTTTAGTTATATTCATATTGAGATCATCATTTCTGGTAACTTGATGTTATTTGATATTTGGTTGGACTCGCAGAGTTTGTCCAAGTTTGCTCCCCTTCGCACCTGAAAATGCGTGTCTGGGAACGCGGAGCAGGTTAGCTCAATTGCACCAAATGCAGGAGTTATTGTCACAGAAAAAAAAAATTTGATGCAAAAAGAATTCAATTTTTACAATCTCAGATATGCCTGATCTAAAACTACGCATAATGTAATTGCAGGAGCAACACTAGCATGTGGAACTGGGGCTTGTGCCACAGTGGTGGCTGCAGTTCTTGAAGGTCGTGCTGGAAGGGTAAGAACGAAAATTCATGAGCTGGACTGCTTAACCATTCTTTTTCAGTGCAGTTGTTTTGAACTAGTAGTCGTCTCAGTTGCAAATTGTTCTCGTGTTCGGCTAAAAGTTCTTTGTATGAACAGAAATGCACGGTGGATTTGCCTGGAGGGCCGCTGGAGATAGAGTGGAGGGAGGAAAACAACCATATTTACATGACTGGCCCGGCTGAAGTAGTGTTCTACGGTTCTGTGGCACTTTGAAGTTTTTGGCAGATGTTGGCTTCTTCACATGCCCGTTTTTTGTGAAACTGTAAGGTTTCTAATGTGCCTCTCCGATTTGATTTGAAACTGCTGTACCTTGCTGTCCTGCACAATAAGTTATCTTCTGATTGTTGTGCGATGGAAACTAATCAAATTTGAGCTCGTATAGTACTCGAATGTACGAGCGACGCCTATATAAAAAAAAAAATGTAAGGAGCGACATGTCATCTAATTTCTTTAAAAAAAATTCTCAAAATACATACGTTATATTCCCCCCCAATTTACACATGTTTGGACATTCACTGCGGTAGAGAAGGGCGGTGATGGACGATGGTGAATGTGTGGTGAAGGCTTCACCGTGTTTCCCGGTTGCGGTGAAGGACCGGCTTGCGTCGAAATTTTAAACGAACGTAACTTTGTGCTCGGAAATTCAATCGTAGCGAAATTTCTTCTGATTCAACATAATTTTTTGAGATCTTCCAAGCTGCAAACTGTCGTGGTCCCGCATCGAATTTTGCGGTTAACTGCAACTGCAAACACCCCATATCAGCCCATCGCCACCGCAACGGCAAGCATGCCCACCGAACAGAAGAAAGAGGCAGAGCCGCTGATTGACCGAGAAGAGGTGAGGGGCAGAGTCGTCGGGAGGAGGTGAGAGGCAAAGACGCTAATTGACGGGAGGAGGTGGGAGGCAGCGAGCTCGTTGGCTCGTAGCTCGTCGGGTCGAGTAGAGGAAGTCAGGAAGAGTCTATCCTCCCGCCTCTGTGACTCGCTGTTGCTGGCTGCTGGCTCGCCGCGGGACGGTGAGAGAGAGACAAAGAGTCGACGAGGGTGAGAGTTAGGTTTTTTTTTTCCCCGGTTACAGTCTCAGAATCAGAGGAGGGTCGAGGGAGCCAAGGACAGGGAGATCCGAGACCTGGTCCTAGGTAGACGAAGTGGGGAGGAAGGGAAGGGTCGTCGGTTGTGGGCCTGTTGCGCTGGTGGGCTGAAGGCTAGAGTTGGACGGCTGCTGGGTTGGTGATCTCTAAGTCTAAACTGTCTAATTCGGTTTTAGTGCGGTTACACCGCAAACCGCAAAAGAGATAACATCAGCAACCGCAACCACAAAAGAGTTTAACCGCAAAACCGCTACTGTTTTCCCAGCCCTAATCGGATCTTGTGGAGCTTCTCTCCCTTAACTGGATTAGCCTTGGCCAACTGTTCTTTCCCTAGGCTCTTGAAATCGAACTCGTAATTTTCCTGATCCCGATACTGATGCCCTCGGCAGAACTCTACCTCCTATCTGCCGACGTCCGAACCAACAACTTTCGTGGCCGTCCTCCCTAACAAAGTGAGAACGACAACAACCAACATGGCAAGATACAACATTTGTTGCCCTTTCTAGTTTCTTCTATAGATATACAATATACGTGGAAATTCAAATATGTATTGATTAGCTTCTTTATTCCTCAAGGAGGGCGCCAACATTTTTTTTTAATTAATTGTGATTTTGGGAATTTGATATTTCTTAATAATACAAAAATGAAGGATAAACTAGTAATCTCAACTTTTAAATTATAGTAAAATCTAGGGTGACAATTAGCCATCCTCGTTTGCCTAGTGCCTACCGTGGCTTACCGTGGGCTTCGTTTCCCGGATCGAGGTGGGTTTAGTGATTCTATTTGAAGTCCAAATGTCCCGATCTCATTTCGAGCCCAAAACCGCCAAGTCCTCAGAGTACCAGAATCCGCGCTTCGTTTGAACTTGAAATTTTCACCTGGGCCCACGTTTTGACGTTTCCCAGAAAAGGCAAGAATGAAGCGCCGCGTGTCCCTCCTAACCTAACGGCTATCTCTACAACACCACCCCCCACTCTTCTGGTAAGACAGACGCCCGGTATTTCTCTTTTCAAAAATCATCTCTCCCGATCAAAGCCTACAGTCCCCAAATTTCACTCAACATCAATTCCCAAACAGATCGAAAAGCAACTGGCTCAAAGTTCCTTTCTCCAGATTCACGGAAGCAACTGAATCGGAATCACAGCCTTTCTTGCTACTGAGGTGGAAAGGGAGCGCGCGAGTTCTTCTGATCGCTTCGCCTGGTACCCATCGCAAGTTCGCAACTGTAAGTATGAACTATGCACCAGAATTTGAATTCGGAACTCAGATGGGCAATTGTCAGTTGAAATGGATGATCGTAACCTGATCGAAGCTCTTGTCTCGTTTGCACAATTTTATTTTCCCTCTCGGTTTAGGTTTCGACTTTGGGGGAGTTGGAAGAGGGAGCAAGCGAGAAAAAAGAGACGATGTCGATGTCGCTCACGCCTGATCACTTCAGGAAGTCAGGGTTCGGACTCGTACCGTCTCCAGCTCCGTTCCTCACGCCTCGCCCGGAGAGACGCCGGCCGGAATCCAGGAGTTCCGACCTCAGCTCCAACCGTCAGGACCGAGATAAAGAGGTTAACGTCCAGGTCCTTCTTAGATGCAGGTTCGCCTTTGTTCCAATTGCTTCCGATTCTCTGCTGCTTGCTCTTTTAGTAAGTTTGAAGATCAAAATGAAATTTGCTTCTTCGAAAACCCAGGCCGCTAAGTGATGAAGAGCAAAGAGCGAATGTGCCCAGGGTGATCTCTTGCAATGAGCACAGACGAGAAGTCACTGTTCTGCAAAGTGTTGCTAACAAGCAAGTGGATAGGGTTTTTTCGTTTGACAAGGTAAGAGTTTCCCTTTTCGGTTCGCTTCTAGCTTTGATGTGGCTCTTCGGTTTGCTCTTGTATTGAGAGGTCTGAGTCTGTGTCAGGTTTTTGGGCCTAAAGCGCAGCAGAGATCGATTTATGACCAAGCGATTGCGCCCATAGTGAATGAAGTTCTCGATGGTTTCAACTGTACTGTATTTGCTTATGGCCAGACGGGGACAGGCAAAACGTACACAATGGAGGGTGGAATGAGAAATAAGGTAAATTGGAAGTGAAATCTGTGCTTGTATCTCTGATTTTTCTTCACCATGCTTCCTTTCAAGGACTTGATGTTGCTCCTTCACAGGGTGGAGATTTGCCTGCCGAGGCTGGTGTTATCCCAAGAGCTGTTCGCCAAATATTCGATATATTGGAGGCCCAAAATGCAGATTACAGCATGAAAGTGACGTTCCTGGAGCTGTACAATGAAGAAATAACTGATTTGCTGGCTTCAGAAGACAATTCGAGATCCATTGATGATAGGCAAAAGAGACCAGTTTCATTGATGGAAGATGGAAAGGGTTGTGTTGTTTTAAGAGGGCTTGAAGAAGAAGTAGTGTACAGTGCAAATGATATATACACACTCTTAGAACGAGGAGCAGCTAAAAGGCGTACAGCAGACACTTTTTTGAACAAGCACAGCAGGTCTTTCCTACATTCTATTTTACTAGTGTGACTGCATCTAGGAGCAGAGAGAGTCAGCTAAAAGTTTGCTTCTTTCTCATTGCAGTCGGTCCCACTCTGTCTTTTCTATTACTGTCCACATAAAAGAATCAAATATTGGGGAAGAAGAGCTCATTAAATGTGGCAAGCTTAATCTGGTTGATTTGGCTGGATCAGAAAACATCTCGCGTTCTGGGGCGAGAGAGGTACAATTCATATTTACAGTTTCTTGGCATAGTTCAAGTTTCTAAGCAACCTGAACTTCTCCATTATGTATAATCGAGTATTGGGACTGGTATAAGCAAATATCTGCCTGATACTTCCGTTACTGCTCATATCTGTAAGTTCTTTTGCAATGTGAACTTGCTGACCCTCGTATCATTTTTTAGGGTCGTGCTAGAGAAGCCGGGGAAATAAACAAGAGTTTACTTACTCTAGGGCGTGTTATAAATGCATTGGTAGAACATTCCGCTCATATACCTTATAGGTTATGATCTCTCACTTGTTTATGCATTTTTGTTTGTTTATTCTATTCTTTCCAAGTATTTTGGTAGCTGATAAGCGACATTATTTGTCCATCAATATAGAGATAGCAAGTTGACGAGACTACTAAGAGATTCCTTGGGAGGAAAAACCAAAACTTGCATCATTGCAACAATCTCTCCATCTGGCCATTCCTTGGAGGAAACTTTGAGTACTCTTGATTATGCATATCGTGCTAAAAACATAAAAAATAAGCCCGAGGTGTGTCATAAATCTGTCTTGCTTCTTCAATAACATTTCAACCTATTGTCTCGTTGTTCTGATAAAAGAGTTTGTATTTGCAGGCAAACCAGAAAATATCCAAGACTGTTTTGCTCAAAGATCTGTTTTTAGAGATTGATCGAATGAAAGAAGGTGCTGATGAGATGTTCATATATTCTTGTGTAGCGAAAAGTTCTCGCAAAGCCAAACCTTATGCCGCTGTTCCTGTGGTAAACTGATGCAGATGTTCGAGCAGCGAGGGAAAGAAATGGTGTGTATGTTCCACATGATAGATTTGCCCAGGAAGAAGCAGAAAAGAAGGTAGAGTCTTATGGTAGATTCAGCATTTAAGTACTCTTATAACTGATTGTCGTTTCTTGATTGTTTATCTGGGTTTCTGAATTGCAGTATCTAGTTTGATTTAGCTTAATTGTGATTTGAGCAGTTAACAATCTCTTGCAGGCCAGGGCTCAGAAGATAGAACAATTGGAGATCGAGTTGAACCTCAATGAGAAGGTAAAAACATGTTCCTCACTTTCTCATCTCCTACATCAAAATGTGAGGTGTAATAGAATAGCTGACTTTCACTGGTTACAGGAAGTTGATAGGTTCCGTGAGCTCTATATGTCTGAGCAAGAAGAAAAACTTGAAGTGACAAGTGAGCTCAAGGATTGCAAGGTTCTTATTCTTCATGGTCTGTGGATGTCTCTACTTTAGTCAGATTGCCACGTCTCATCATGATGATTTTTTTTTGTTCTTCAGGTGAATCTAGAGAAGAGTAACAAGGACCTGTTAGATCTTCGAGAACAATATAGAGTCGCAATCTCGACATTAAAGGAAAAAGAGTTTATCATCTCTAAGCTTCTGTATTCAGGTGAGTGTACATGTGTGATTTTCCGCAATTTACCCCGTCTTATTATTGCCCCATTGTGCTGATGATGTTAGATTTTGAATGAACAGAAAATTCTTTAGTTGAAAGGGCAAAGGAGTTGCGGAATGGCTTGCAATCTGCTTCAGAAGATATTACTTCACTGTTCACAACATTAGGTACTGGATGAGTTTGATTGGCATGAATGACAATGTTGACCTCCAGCTCTAAGTTTCTCTTATGATCTCATTTTGAGAAGGAAAGATTTATAGAAAACAACACTTTATTAACAGATCAGAAGGATCAGATGGAAACAGACAACCAGAGAATGGTTTTGAGATTTGGTTCTCAACTAGACCAGAGTTTGAAAGACCTGCACAGAACCATTCTAGGGTCAGTCTCTCAACAACAGCATCAAATGAGATGCACGGAAGAGCATGTCCAGTCGTTCCTTGCCAGCAAATTTGATGTAAGGATTTAACTTTTTTTAAAAATCTTTTCAAGAGTTCGAAGTTGTAGCTGATGGCACTGGTCTTGGTACCTGCCAGGCAACCAAGGCTTTGGAATCACGGATAAGGAAAATGGCAGATGCATATTCTTCAGGGATTGAATCCTTGAAGGAGTTTGCTAATGCTATGAAGGAGAACTCTTCTTCTGACCTGGAGCAGTTAAACGCCACAATCTCATCTCAAGTGTCTGCTATTGAACAGGTAAGATAGACAAACATGTGTAACTTAAATGGTGGTTTCAGTTAATTGCCTAGACTTAAGGAAAATTGTTGCATTCGATTTCTACAGTTGTTGGCGGTCACTGTATCAGAGGCCCAAAGTAGTATTGAGGATATTCAGAATTCTCTACGTGAACAAGAACATATCTTATATATCTCCACTCAACAACAAGAGAAGGTAATGTCACTCGAATACATTACCTAATTGTCTCTCTGGTTTAAATGGTCGTCTGCACTTGAAGAAATGACATTTTTGCACATTATAGGGACTAGAAAGAAGCTTGAGACACACTCAAGTGATATCAAAAGCAACAATGGACTTCTTCGATGACATCAACGTTCAGGCGTCTAAAGTTATGAATGTTCTTGAAGAAAGCCAAACCAAACAATCTGATTGGTTAAACAATTTCCATCAGACTTTTCAAGTAAGCAGAAATCTGGAAGTACTTACTTTTTTTCCCTTTGACTGATGCATGGGCCTTCCGACAGATGTCTACTCTGTTGATACAGGAACAGACAGCGAGAGAGGAGAAACAAGCTCTGGAAGATATTACAAAAATACTAGGCAACATGACTTCTAGAAGAACAGCTCATGTAAGTCAATGTTTTTATTTATCCTTTTCATTATTCAGAAGAATGAAGGTGATGCTGACATTTCTAAGGCATTATTGTGCTTCAGGTCATGGAGGCATCCAGGAGCATGCAAGGCATGAGAACAGATGAACATAAGAAAATGCAACAAGAGATGAGCTACATTCATCAGGCCTCATCAGATGCTAATAAGGAGTTGAGGAGACATGCGGAAGAAGTAAAGAGAAACTTCATGGCTGACTCATTTTCAGTGGCCGAGTCAAGGGTAGTCATGGAAACCGTCCTCCAAGAATGGTACATAAATTCAGCCTTGTTTGATTGAATACTAAATAAGAACATAGTTAAGAACGAGAAAGAAAATAAAATGCATTCATAACATTCTTCCTTTTTACCAGTTTCCCTAAACTAAGACAATTTTTTTTGTTTACCCTCGATTGATCACGGTGCAGTTCGGATAAGGTGAACCGGTCTAAGGAGCAGTTGGAAAATGCGCAATCAAAAGTAAGCGATCTCAATCGAAGCAGTGCTCTGGGAGTAGAAGCTGCTGTGAGGTGAGAGTTATTTCCTTTCTTGCCTGGAAGGAACTTCTTCCTATTTGCGCCACTGGCTGAATAACATACTACTCTTGTATGCAGAGAAAAAATCAGCATCAACAACGTTGCACAGCAGCAATTTCTGTCAGCATCCTCAGCTGTTGACGAAGAATTTTGTGGCAGGACAGTTGATGTTATGGCAGCAGTGGAAGGTAAAATACATATATTAAAAATCCGTAGGAATATCGCATTAATGTTCGATCTGCAAACTGACTAAACTGTATGGAACTGTGCGAGTTAGATTCCCTGACGAGAGATCAGGAGAGCACGAAGGAGATGGATGCCATGGCAACGTTGTGCATGAATCAGCTGAAGACCATACAAGAGAAGCACGGCGAAAGCATAGCAAGCATCAGGAGCAAAGCAGACAAGTGCCTGACCCAAGATTATGAGGTCGACGAGGACACAAGCTCGAGGCCTGAAAGGAGGGTCATTTCTGTGCCTAGCATGTCCTCCATTGAGAAGATGAGAATGTCGTTCCCAGCGGCCGCAAATGGAAGTGTGGAAGAAGAGGGAGAGAATGTGGGGCACAGATTGTCTTCGCCGTCAAAATGGAGTCATCATCATCATCAGATGACTGAGAGCAAGAACCCGCAACTGGTTCATAGTAGTAGAGCTCCTCTTGGTGATGTCAACTGAGAAGGGGAAGAAAGGTAAAGGGCAGGATGTATGCTCACTTCTGGATGTATGCTCGCTTAGCTCATCAACTGATGAGCTCCTTGAAGAAGCAGGCTTTAGATATATATATATATATAGCTGAATGACTTGTACTTGAAATTATTAATCACATTATTAGTGTTCCCTTGGATAAAAGGAAGCTTCTTCTTATCTTAAGCTTTTGTGGAAGTGATTTCGGTATTTTGTTGTGAACTGGAGAGTGTTTTGGTTGGTTTGTCCATTATCACATGTTTCTATATGATTTCTGAGCAAGGCATGCAGGGGAGAAGTTAAGTTACTCATCTGCTCTTCGCGGGCGAGACTCTGATTTTCTGTGATGCTTCTTCCGATCAAGTGGTAAATGCCTCGATTACTTCTGTGTGCTTTTACGCGGTAACTAGGCTCAAGATTAGCTTAGATAAATCCACCATGTCCACGGTGGGAGACATCCCTAAGCCTAGGTTTTATGCTGATGTGATAGCAAAAGCACTCAAGCTCGACACTTTTGAGTTGTTTAGAGGCAGAGCAGGAGTAGTCGAGACAAGTGAACGTGTTTTTGCAGATTGAAGTTTGAACTGAAGCTGACTTCTGTTCAAGGAGAGAAATTGTTTGCCAGGTTCGAACCCGGATCGTCTGGAAAGAAGCGGGAAGACAAAATTCAAATAAGGCTGTTGTGGCCAAGTTGTGTCAATTTGGTTATCTGTGTTTTTGTTCTTTAGTTATGTATATTGTGTCATATCAGTTCATTTCGAGTTTTCAAGGGTTGTTGGAATTTGGAAGTCCAGTCTATTGGTTTGTTAACTTGATAAGCTAATTAATGCTTAGCCAGAATCCATAATTAGGAGGTTAGTGGAGCCCGCAGCTACAGGCTGAAGCTCTGTATTTGGTATTCCAAAAGTTCATTCAGTAAATTTTTGTCAGTTACTTTGGCCACAAAAGTGTTCCATCAAGTTTAGCCACTTAGCTGCATGCATTACGAGAACTTATGGTTGAAGTTATGTGAACATTTGGTGAGATCAGCTGTAAGAAAAATGCAAGTTTGGTTGGTGACTGGTGAGCAGGGTTGACAAGAGACCTGCAGGCAGCTTACTGCTAAACTAGGAATGAAACCCAACCCGGAGTCCTGCAGCCTACTGCTAAACTAGGAAAGAAGAAGAAAAGTGTTTGGTTTTGACCAATAAAATTGCACCCACTGTTTGTTTTTCTTTTGTGACTTTTTATTAGTCAAAGTAGATTTTAGGCGGTTTGGCTGATGGATTTTGCAATTGAAGCTTATCAATGATATATGGTTCATGAAATTCATTCTTTGAATGATTTTTTATATATATGAAAATGGGTTTGAACTTTATAGCATCACACTTCTATCTTAATAATTAGTGAAACGAACAAGGGCTTGGTCTAGTGGTAATACCACTAGTCTAGAACCTGGAGGTCTCAGGTTCGAATCCCTTAAGTAGTATCTTAATCACAAAAAAGAGAAACCTATATCACCCTTATCAAAAAAAAAAAATAGTGAAACGAACGACAAAGCGTTGACAAAATCAAATGATGTCTAATTATGAACATCAAAGTCAAATACATGAAAATCAAGTGGCAACGAGTGCCCCTTATAAACTAATGGACAGATTTGGAAACTACAACTTGGAGTGATAATATCTTGGCATAAGTGATCAGTTATTTATATATTTTCCTCTGTTTTCAAAATCTAACCGGAAGTTGAACTGAAAAAGTTAGTGGTTTAGCGTTCAATGGTTTATCGTTACAAAATCGTTGGTAAATCTTTGATAGGACCCTTCATGATACAAAACTTGTGTATTATAATAATTTAAGAATGAAGTTATCATTGACCATACATAATTTTAAATTCATATCATCACCAAAATATCTAATAAATCATTCAAACAGTCTCACAAAAGAAATCTTTTTTTTTTTTAATTCAAGTTAAAAATTATGGTGCCAGTTGGTAGCGGACCACGTAAAAACGACAATAAGGTTGGAAAATGAGAAGAGAAATCATATATAAAATTAATAATATGACTTGATGGTCTTAGTTAACTTTAAAATATTTTTTAAAAAACTTTTGTGGTTAAAATAGTGAACCAGTGGACCAGTTAAACCGTGGTGGTTCTTCTGGTTTTATGATGAACAATGAAAATCGTTTGGTCCATCAATAACCGTCAAAGCAATGAACCGGACCGCTATCATAACTGGTTTGACAATTCTACTAGTTCAGTCGTTGATCGGATTTGGTTCTTATAACAATGATTATTTTTACACATATTATCCGTGCTATGTATTCACTCAATATTCTCTGAATACTCGTGTTTCTGTGTTCAATCACCCATTAAAGTTTTCTAGAGCCTTTTCTTACAAAACTCATTTAATCAACCACAAAGAAATGATGAACATGGTAAAGGTGTATGTTTGGATTTGAGAGGTTCCGATTTTAATCTTGGCAGCCGTCATTTTTTCATAACCGTTTAGTGGCCATTAACAGAAATATGTACTCATCTTCCTATGAGTTCGTCGAATATTCACATCTTTGACAAATTAAACTTCACTAATATTAAGACACTCATGTATTAGAATTTTAATTAGTTTATGCACGACCACCCTTTAGGTCACGCACATGAATCGGGAGAATCGACAATAACAAAAAAAGCAACGATCAACAAGAAAATAAAGAACATAAAGATTTTCGTGGTTTACTAATATAACGTGTGTTAGCTACTCCATCGGCACAGAGAGAGCTATCTTTACTATACTCTAGGAGATTACATATTACAGAGGAGCATGAGAAGTATTTATAGTAATATTACAATAACCTAACCCTAATCTAATTTGGCAAAAAATCTGGTTACATATCAGGTCCAACACAGAAGCCCAAACGTGTACAAACCAATACACCATGACTTCCACTCGTTGATGACAAATCATCTGATTCAGGTTACATTAACACTTTAAACTATGGGTTTTCCAAAACTAAGCCGTTTAACATTTTTCTCCTCAACTTCCAAAATTGTTCCTAACCTAACCTAACTGGGGCGGGATACGGTCACTTCCCTTGAGGGGTTGTGAGATTAACAACCAAGGGTATTTTGGGTATGACAACAAAATGAATTAATTAATTAATTTTTTTTGTATTAATTATAAATTGGGAATTAAAACCCCATATTATATACATATTTTTTTAACCTATAATAATACAACTCTCTCTTCCTTTTCCAGCAGCCGTTCCACTCCGACCGGCTGACTTCTTGATCGACATACTTTCTCCGACAAAATCCTTGAATCGGACTCGCTCCGGCCACCTGCAAAAAATTACCACTTCGTCAGTGTGCTAGTGGTACGACCACTACCACTACCATCTGGTAGCGGTAGCGTACCACTATCATTTGGTACCACTACCATTTGATATCTAGTATTGGTACGCTACCACTAGCAGCTACAAGATGGTAGTGGTAGCGTACCACTCCACATAGTACCACTACCACTAGAAAAAAAACCAGATATAAAAATTCAAAAATCTCATATCTGAAAAACGAAGGGGAGGAGAAGAGATGAGGCACGGAGAGGCAGAGGGACTCACACGAAGAAGAGATTTGAAAAACGAAGAGATTAGGCAACGACAAGGGTGGAGGGCGCCGAAGGATTGTAGAAGACAGCCGCGACGGGAGGGTGGAGGGCGGTGGAGGTTGTGGAGGGAGGCCGAGGCCGGCGGCGATTGTGGTGGCCGGCGACAACAGTGAAGGCCGGGAGCAGTCACGTCTGATAAAGAGATGGATGAGAGAGAGAGAGAGGGAGGAGTTAGATTTTTTCTTCATTTAAGCCGTATTTGGATATCATGGCGGCAGGAGGCTTTGGGACAAGGCGAGACGAATACATCATTCTTTGTAACGAATCATGCGTTCCTATTTCGTTGGAATTTTACTTCTACCTTGAATAGGTGGGAATAATGAAATATTCCAAGATAAAAAAAAAAAACGAACTGTTAAATTCAAAGCAGGTATTAAAAAAAAAAAAAACACTACTTCGAGAGATTTTTCCACCATAGGATCTACCAAATGCAAGATCTTTGAGTTGAAAATCCATTGTGCATAGTTTTACAGTTCACGACTAAGCATACGATAAAAGCATTGTCATTTGAAGACCTAATACAACCAACCATTTTAGGGATAAGAGTTTTACCTTAGTCAAGTTATATGAAATTTTGGTAATTTCTCATGCACATCAATGAGGATTTAACAACAAATTAAAATGGTGGGATTAGGAAATTTATAGATGATAAAATGAAGTTGAGAGGTTTAGTCGAAAGAACTCATAATTTAAGAGCATTTCAATTACCGAACATTTTACGGAGAACTAACCGAAAGAATTAGGCTATGAGAAGATTAAAATTTAAGGAACGTGTGTAGAAAATACTATTGAGGGACTTAGGTAAAAAAAAAAATAAACAGAATTCATTCTTTTAAATATCCTTCTATTTAATACCACTTTTGCACCAATGGGAGACCAGTCTCCAGTTTTTTTGCAGTCATAATCTCGTGCACCGCATTGTGGGAACTGGGAACTAGGAACAGACATTCATGACCTTTTTAAAGTCCAGTCCTCCTTTCATATCATTGAACCTGGCCCTATCTTTTTTTGTCTTCCCTTTTAATCGATTGGTAATATGTGTCCCGATTAATCGATTTTATTTTATTTTCCCAAAATATGTAGAAGTAGATGTAGTTTTGAAAATCACGAATAATATAATTTTTTTATGAAAAAAATTCAAATTAATACACTAGAGATTGAAGTCTGTATAGAATTTTATCAATATGAAACGATTGAATCTCAATCAGACCATAAAATATCATATTACTAACTTATCCTAGATAACCTTGGATATGCTTTTACAATCCGAATTAAAATTTAAACCGTACTTTTCTTTCTTGGTTGGGTTTTTCAAAGGGTAAATGCCACATTTGGTCACTGAGATTACTAAATCGTTTCATGTATAGTCACTAGAAAATTTTAATATCAATTTTGGTCACTCGAATTACTGAAACATGTCACATTTGGCCACTCTTCTGTAGCCTCTGGCCAACTCCGGTCACTCGAATTACTGAAACATGTCACATTTAGTCACTCGAATTACTGAAACATGTCACATTTATTCACTCTCCCGTTAGTTTCCGTCCAACTCCATTAAACGGGATATTGACTAAATGTGACCAGTTCCAGTAATTCAAGTGACCAAAATTGATATTAAAATTTTCTAGTGACTAAACATGCCACAATTTAGTAATCTTAGTGACCAAATGTGGCATTTACCCATTTTTCAAATATTGAGTACCTCCCCACTCACGTATAGGGATGGCAATTTCGATCTGACCCGTTTTACCCGATCTGTTTGGCCTACTTTGGAGCGGGTCTGACCTGCCACGTAGGCGGGGCGGGGCGGGCATGGGTACTCTCATCGACTCGACCTGCCCTGACCCGCCCCATTCTCGACCCGTTCTTGTCTAAATTACATGTAATCTTAGTCAAATTACTTAGAAACTTTCTTTTATTACATCATAATTTAGCTATAATAAAGTTGTAAATTGGTGAAAACCTCAATTTCTCTAGTAATTTAACTACATTTATCATAATATTGTATGTTTTCTTGGTCTTATAATAAAAATAACCAATGTTTCTAATGTTTTTCATATAAATTGCATACCAATTGGATCGACCTGTCCCGACCTGCGACCCGTGATAAATTACCCAACCTGAATCCGACCTGTCACAGAACGGATCTGGATACCAAGAAACCCGGCCCGGACCTGCCTATTGCCATTCCTACTCACGTCTCGCCCTCGCCGCCACCACTTGTTCACTCGCGCTCCACCGAACCTTCCACTCTCTATCCGTTATTCCGTTTACCCGTTAACCTCGTTCCTTTTTATCACATTTCCATCACTGCTGACGTCACCGCTTAGTAGGCAAAGTCAAACGCAACCCAAAACCAACCAGACGAGTCAAAGCAATGAAAAACTCAACGCTTGGGTTAACCAGTCAGTCAAACCTCTCCACCTCCTTCTGCGCTTATAAAATACCAACTCCCAGGCACCATCCAACTTCCATTCCCATTTCCAACGACAACAACTCAACTTCCCAACAAGAAAAAAAAAAAAAACTTCCCCTTCTTTCGCCAACTTCCCAATCCAATCTTCATCTTGGAATAATTTCCTTCCATGGCCGTGAAGAGAAGCAGAGAAGTGGAGACGTTAGACATGGCGAAATGTCTAATCTACCTCTCCCACGGTCTTATTAACACCGTTAATTCCACTTCCAATCCTTCCCCCGTCCCCGCATTCGAATGCAAGACCTGCAACCGGAAGTTCCCGTCCTTCCAAGCTCTGGGGGGCCACCGGGCCAGCCACAAGAGGCCCAAGAATTTACTGGGCTTGGGCCACAACGCAGCGTTCAACTTAGCATCCACGAAGCCCAAAGTGCACGAGTGCTCCATTTGCGGGGTCGAGTTTGCGATGGGCCAGGCTTTGGGCGGTCACATGCGGAGGCACCGAGCAGCCGCCGCCGCCGCCGCGAGTGACGGCTTCGGTCCCGTTGCCGCCGTGGCTCCTAAGTCGGAGGGTGGAAACTTGAGCAAGGTGCTGCCGCTGCTTAGGAGGACGGGGAGTTGCAAACGCGTGTTTGGGCTGGATTTGAACTTGTCGCCGTTGGAGAACGACTTGCAGTATTTGTTTGGGACGATGGCTCCCAAAGTTTCCATTATTTGATCTCCTCTTCCGATTCTTTTTCACATTAATTTCTTGTAGCCTGTACATGTACAAATGATTGATTCATTGATGTATACTCTAGCCCATTTCTTGCTCTCTTGTAAAAATCACACATACACTTTCAGCGAGATTTAATATTATGTTATGCGTTTTGGTCCGGAAATCATCGGAGATTCCTCAACAATTGGTGAAAATTCGCCACAAGGAAGAAAACTCACATAAATCATGTAGCGTGATCAATAAGTAACGGAAAAATACAAGAAATTGAGATGAGAAGTTATAGGTGATGGACCCAAAAAATTTGTGCGAAGTAAATCAAGTGGATTATAATAAACTATTGTACTAGAAATATGTGAATTTTGAGAAACCAACATGAACACGTTCATGATTATGGCTGGAAACAATATGAACCAACAGTACAAAAAAGAGGAGGTTTGGGGACCACAAAAATCAGTCCTCGGTAGGTAAAATTGTCCCCATAAATATCGGGGATGACTAAGTTGTCCCTAATGTTTGGTGTCTTATACGCTTGTCCTCTATTGTTTTGGGGACGACAAAAATCTAGGTTGTTCCCAAAACTAGGGATGACAGTAGTCCCAGATGCTCACGAGCTGTCATCTCGTTCTTTTTCATAAAAGTCACCATGTCGTCCCTATAGCCATGACTTTGGTGACAATAAGTCGTCTCCTAAACATAATTTCTAGGGACAATGTTGTACCCTATAATCCATTTCATGAAAGTGTTGTGAGTTTCTGGGGATGATTTGATGTCCGTTTTCACTGTATAGGGTTGACATGTCGTCCCCATAAGTGTCAAATGGGAGTCAATAGATCATCCCAAAAATTTTATTTAAGGACAATAAGTGGTCGTTATACTATATCTCTAGAGACAACAAGTTGTCACCTTTTTCACTTTTAGGGATGAAGAATTGTCTCTTAATTTTGTCATAGGGGACAACCAATTGTCACTTATGTAATGTATGGGGACGACAAGTGGTCATCTAACTTGTGTCTTATTAGAGGAGACTATATGATTATCAAAACTGAATCATTTTATGACAACGCCTATATCACATATAATTTTAAATATTTGTTGACGCAACATCTTTTGAGTACGAAGAAAGAAACTTAAATATCTATATCGGAAAATGCAATTGATTATAGAAAGTACACCAACAACTAGCCAACATTCTAGTGAAAAAAATTAAACAGAGTGAATAATATAATAAGTTAATGTATTTAAATAAAAATGAAACTACAGAAAATATTACTACCGTACATTGAACCATGAAATAAATAAGAATTTCATCAATCCTAAAAAATCTTCAAGGAAAATTATCTTAAAATATTTTTATCTAAAAAAATGTCAGGATGCAAAAATCCTAGGGATGAAAATAGGTCGTGTTGGGGCGAATAGTGCATATCCATTAACTTACCAAAAAGTAGTTCGAGTTTTACCTCTGTTTTCAGAGTCAGGCCAGACGCTGAACCGAAAATTTTAGTTGTTTGGAGTTCAGTGATTAATCGTTACAAAACCGTTGGTGAACCGTTGATAGTACCATTTATGATATATAACATATAAGACTTGTATAATACGCTAATTTAAAATGACATTATCATTGATCATAAACAATTTCAAATTCATATCATCACCAAAATAGCTAACAAATCATTCAAACCGTCGGACAAAAGAAATCATAATTTTTTTAATTCAAGTTAAAAATTATGGTGTCAGTCGATGCTGAACCACATAAAATCGACAACGAGGTTGAAAAATGAGAAGAGGAAGCATAAATAAAACTAATAATTCTGATTTTATGGTCTTAGTTCACGTTAAAATATAATTATTAATTTCATAGTTAAAATAATGAACTAGTGGGCTGGTTAAACCGTGGTTGTTCATCTAGTTATATGTTGAACCGTGAAAAATTGTTTGGTCCATCAATAACCGTCTAAGCAATGGATCTGATCGCTATCATAACTGGTTTGGAGTTCTACTGGCCGAGCCGTTGATCCGGTTCGGTTGTTATAACAATGAGTTTCATCCATACCCGCATAAGAATCGGGTCGAAAATCAAAACCATGCTATAACCGTTCCGATTTTGGGTATCCATCGTTATCAATGGGTAATAATATCTCTTTATAATTTCAACCATCACGTTAACATTCACACGTATACTCATATTAAATAAGAAGAAAAGTCAAAAGTACGATAATAAATCACTAGAGCGAAGAAAAATTATTAAAACAAACACAATTTCATTTTCATTATAATTGAATGCTATATATAAAATATGTTGAGAAAATAATGAGCATTTCTAAACAAAATATATATGCATGTGTATAATCGGGTGGGTTCAGGTTGGATAGTGAGAAAATCATGCCTGCCCATTACTCGTAGTTGGACCTAGCAAATTACAGCCCGACCCGTTAACCCGACCCAAACCCGCCTGAAAAATAGAATTTTTACAACCCGAAATCCGAATTACCCGAATCATATTAACCTGTGATTTTTTGGGTCTGGTTGGGTGGGTTAGCGGGTCGACCCGTTAGATCCGTTACATTTTATATGTACTCCCAAAATGATAAAATCACTCACAAATTGGTGAGATTTTGAAAAAAAATTACAAGGATTTGAAAGACATTTTTAAGTTTAAGGGTAATCAAACATCATGTGTTTCTTGTAGTAATATGACGCTTGTGATTGTTTTTTGACGATTTGTGAAAATTTGTAGTAATCAAACTATTGCCATGAATATCTGAAAATTTGTGTTCTTTAAAAAGAATATGAAGTATGTTTGATATTGTTTCTGATAACGCTCATAATCCGAAACGACATGTAACCCGATCCAAAACTGAATTGGTTGGGTCAATATTTGACCCGAAATCAGTCAACCCAACATAACCCGACTCGTAACCCTATGTAGTGACGATGTCCCAACCCGACCAGATTGTCAGGTGCCCGTACGTAGTATTCGCGTTCGGATTATAACTATACAACTATACCCACTAAAAACACGTGTGCTCCTCGTTAGTATATTTGACATTTCTAGGTTATGCACGCAGTTAATTACTGCTCACCAGAACCCCCCTCGTCTTTATTGGACTATTTTCTTACCGGCGCGCCAATGTGAAGTTTCTGGGAACACATGCAAAATCCTAAAATATACAGCAATATATAGCTCGCCACTCGTGACTGTGACTCAGTCCATCTCCAATTCTCCATTCATATTATTATACTTCTCTTCTGTTCCCGCCGCCACCTCTTCGTCCCCAGACTCCGAACCTTCCATTGTTCTCCCTCCGGCGACTTACTTTACCCGTTACAAGCTTCGCTTCAGCTTCTTCCATCACGTCTAAACGTCACCGTTTTTTCACCTCCCTCTCCCACACCTTCCATTTAGTTTTTCCAACTCCCACGGGGTATCATCCTGATCAAAAAAGAAGAGTCAACAAGTTGCAAAACACGAAAAACTCAACGCCTTCCCACCAGTCAAACCCTCTCAACTCCTTTTTCGCCTTTACGTATAAATCAATACCCTATATAGCTTCCACCCTCCAACTCGCTTCCAGCCTTCCATATCTCCCATTTCTTCACGTAGTTATTCTCATTCGATCACATTTCAACACCAATATTCCGTCAATGGCCGTGAAAAGAAGCGGCGGAGTGGCAGAACCAGAGACGTTCGACATGGCGAAATGTCTGGTCTACCTCTCCCACGGTCTTAACGCCGTTAATTCCACTTCCAAGCCCTCCCCCGCCGCATTCGAATGCAAGACCTGCAACCGGACCTTCCCGTCCTTCCAAGCTCTGGGGGGCCACCGGGCCAGCCACGGGAGGCCCAAGAATTTACTGGGCTTGGGCCGCAACGCGGCGTCCAAGCTGGCATCGAGGAAGCCCAAGATGCACGAGTGCTCCATTTGCGGGGTCGAGTTTGCGTTGGGCCAGGCTTTGGGCGGTCACATGCGGAGGCATCGAGCAGCTCCGGTGGCCACCAGGAGCTCTGGTGGTGACGTGGCTCCTCCTTTGGCGGTGGGACCGGGATCGAACGAGGTGGCTGTGCTGCTGAGGAGGTCGAGTAGTAGTAAACGCGTCTTCTTTGGGCTGGATTTGAATCTGACGCCGTTGCAGAACGACTTGGAGTATTTGTTTGGGAAAATTAGGGCTCCCAAAGCGCCTCCATTTGATCCTTCTGCCAAACTCTCTTCATAATTTTTATTATTATCTTTCTAATAATTTACCCCTCACAAATACATTTGTTTGTGTTCCTTGATTAAATTACACTTTTAATTTATTAGCACATTTTGTAAATTGCTTAGCGAAAACTTTGATGTATTGTGAAGATGAATATTAAGTTGGTCTGAGGAACTTATTTGGTTTAATAATAAGTGAAAGATAGCATAAGATTTGACGACTTTTACAAGATACATTTGTTTACGCTTCAAATAATTAAAGTCTAATAAATTCTGCGTGGGTAATTCTAGGTGATTTTAATGCCATAGGGGATTTTAGTGAGGCTTTCAAATTCTTCTGAGTTCTCTAGTAGTGTTGAAGATTTCCATAGGTTCTAGCATTGTCTAGTCCTTCTATAGGTTCCTTAGACGAGGAGAGTAAAATCAAAAGAGCTTAAAGACCTGAAAACTTTAGAGGAGTCTTTCTTGAGGCAAAAATCCAGAGAAACCTGGCTTAAACAAGGAGAATATAACACCCCTTACTTTCATTGATCAGTCAAAGTTCGTCAACAAAGGAACAAAATTAGGTATTTGATTGATGAACATGATAATAGAGTCACAGATACAAATACCTTGATTGAGATAACAGTTAGTTTTTACAAAAACCTGTAGGTGAATCAGATCCTTCGGTTTAATAAGAAACGGTGGAGTTTTATAGAGGTATTTTGGAAATAAAGTTAACTCCTCCTTAAGTGATACGATTCGCGTGATCGAGCTTTAAGTTTTAGTAACTTCAGTGACCAAACTTGCAATTTACTCCTTTCTTTTGAGCATAGGCGGAGCTAGGGCATTTTGCCCTTGTCCAGGACATGGGTAATTTTGGTATGAAAAGAAATACACATATGCTTGAACTAAGAATTGGACACAACATACATAAGGATGTTTTGACACTACATTACAATTCATTACATAAATTATTGATTGATAAAAGAATAATTAATTTATTTGTTTCATTCATAACACTATTATTCGATAACAACTTTGGTATTATCATGATGTTATGGTTGATAAGTGATTTGATGAATTGAAAGGAATTGATGAATTATCTCGGATAATGGTGTAGACAAAAGTGCATACGTCATATCCGTTAGTTTATTTGCTTCTGAAACTAGTTTTGATTCTACCATTTGCCACTATAAGTGTAGAAATATCATTTTTAGCTTGAGCTATATTAAGAACAAGTTTCAAAGTCGAATTGGCGATTAGTTTGCTAATCATCGTTTAATGAGATACATTGAAATAGACTTACTTCAGAATGTAGACAACGAATGTATTTCGCATTTTTTTTAGGCCAAATACACTTGTATAGCCAAATCTTTGACGGTTTAGCCAAATATAGCCACTTTTGACGAAATACCAAAAATAGCCACTTCCGTCCAATACTTTAACGGTGTCATCTAACACGCTGACTGGATTAACGGAAAATCTGACTTGTCAACTTTTTGGTTAATACCAATATGACATGGAATTAATATAAAAAATTAATAATAAACTATTAACCATTTTCTTTCCCCTTCTGTTCATCTCATCTCACACTCCATCTCTCCACCAAAAACCTTCTCTCTCTTCGCTTCCCAATAATGGCGATTGATATCTTACCGTCATCATCTTCGCCCAAAATGTCCTCCCTTCCCGGCCACAGCCAGATTTCCGACCGCCACACTGGTCACTCAAATTTCAATCTAAGACCTACAATCAAACCCAAACCCATCTCAGCCGTCGTCAAGCCTCCACCCCCTAAACCCCAGCTCCCGACGCCGCAAAGAAGAAGCCGGTCGCCTAGACAGGATCGAGACTCGCCACCGTGGCAGCGGCCGAGCCCAGATGCGTCGATGTTGGATGAATTCCAAGTCCCTTTAGAAGATCCGTACGATATGCAAAATGGATGAGGTATTGGTGGCGATGGATTCAGATCTATTTTCCTCTTCTTTATTTTTGTTTTTAGGTTTGATTGTTGGATTCGGGATCAGCTTGATGAAGAAATTCGGCTATCCATCGAGCTTGTTCGTGCTCTTGAATATGATCTTGAACACCTTAACTCTGGCGCGATGAAGTGGCAGCGGGGCAAGGCGATGCAGGAGACGCAACCGTCAAACGTAGCCGTCAGCGGGTCTTTCAAAATCACCATCACTTCAGATTGCTCAGACGCGGCCGCCGGCTATAAAAAAAGGCACAAGAAAGTCAGCATCTCGATCCACAAAGGAGACCGCAGAAACGACGTTGTCATCATCTTTCACCGATTTGGAAGCGAAGGAGGCGGAACCCCTCTACGAATCCCTAGCTTGAAACAGGTGAATTGAATCGGAAGAATGACTGAAGCGCAGGATTTTAGAGTGGAGAAGGAAGAAGAGGAGAGCCAGCGCAGGGAAGCATGACTGAAACTCCATTCCCGACCTAGTCTGGTGGCAGAGCTGGCGCAGGGAAGAATAGACTAAGGGGGGGTTTGTGCTTCGTGTTTCTGCAGAAGGAGAGCCTCTGGACGGAGGATCTCCAATTAACTGTGGGAAGAGCACGCGAAGGGAATTTCAATTTTCCCCTTTCCCATCTCGGTCTCTGTGTTCTTCAATCTAATAACTTTTTCTTCTTCTTTTTTTTCCTCAAGAACGGCTGCGGCGATATGCAACAAAGGTTTATGCAGGATCGGGAGATTGAGTTCCAGATTTGCTCTGTTCTTCAATCTCATACCTCTTTCTTCTTCTCCTTCCCTCTGTTTTTCTCTGTTTGAATGTGTTCGTGTTTATGCTCAGGCGTCAAGAAATTGTATTAGATTGCGTATATGTTCTTTTGGTTGTTTTGACTTTAGTTTTCGGCTAGTTTTTATATGGCTTTCCGTCTCTTGATCTGCCTTTTCTTCCAACTGTACACTTCTCCGTCGCATCACCATGCTGCCTACGCCGGAAATCCGCTTCTCGCAGCAGGGGAAGAGGAAGAGTTGGAGAGAAGGGCGGCAGCCAATGGCGCTGGTAGGAGAGGAGAGAGGATGTGAAAATAATTTTGATTTTTTATTTATTTTTAAATTAATATATGACATGGCATTCATGTGGCAAGAGTTATTGAGTTTTCGATGATGTGTCCTGTGAGTTGGCAGCCAGATCATCATTCTGTTAATTCGACTAACGGTGTCACTGACTCCGTCAAACTATGTAACGGAAAATGGCTATTATTGTCATCAAACTTTTAAATTTTTGGCTATTTTTGGTATTTTCCCAAAAGTGGCTATTATTGTCACAAACGTCAAAGTTTTGGCTACACAAATGAATTTTGCCTTTTTTTTAATATGAAAACTCGTCGTAGCTGTTTATGCAAATAATGATTTTATTAGTCGATATTTATTTATTTGTGAATGATTTATTTGAGTATTATTAATTTTAATGATTTATATTAAGAAAAAAGGACAATGCCAGTCTTAAATCCCGCCTCCGCCACTACTTTTGTGAAAGGCCTTATGATTGGGCTGTCGACCATAGAGTAGAAAGGCTTTAAGTGCTTTGATGTTGAGCTTTGTCCTTGAATTTTTTGGGCTTGTGGACAATATATTGTAGTCCAACTGTCCAAGTGTCCAACAACGAAAGGGCAGAAAAAAGGGAAAGGTAATTTTATTTATTATAAGACCAAAATAACCCTCCCATTGGATCTATTTTCCACCGGCCATTGGATCTGACTGCACCATTCCTCCTGCAACTGGGAATAAATAGAATCAACCGATCGACCTGAATGTTTGTTTTCTACCGATCGAGCTGAAAGGTGAATGAAGACTTTTGGTGTTTCAACGAATGCATGCATGCATGGAATATTACAAAAGTTGCTTTCTTCTACAAGTTGATAGGATAGGTTGTGTTTAGAAAAAAAATACATGACCCATGTAGATTACGACAGAGGAAGTGAAATAAAAAAAAAATTACAAAAAGGAAACTTGCAAGCAAGTGAATCTAACAATTTATTCAAGCAGGTGAGATGCAATTGATTTGTCCAAAATTTTTAATTAAATCGGACATAAATATTTTGCATTCGTATGATATGGTGAATTTGCTGTGGAATTATTTTGTATGGATTTTTTTGGCACCTTCTCAAAATGAATTGTACCTCGACAACCGGTTCATCAGGCCGGTCAATGATCATCAGAGACAGACAGAGGGAGAGTGTAACAGGGTGGGTCACTCGAAAGGGAAATGGTTATATTAGGTATAAAAGTTAATTGATATTGAAAATTAGTACGCATCTAATTGAGAATATAATTGATTAAGAGGTCTTGTGTTTGAATCTTGGTGACCTCATTTGTTAAATACATGTTATTCAAATTTGTGCAAAGTTAAATTCCATATAACTATATAAGTTTCAAATTTGTGCAAAGTTAAATTCCATATAACTATATAAGTTGATTTTCTTATGAGGGGATGTGTTAGTAAACGGTATAAGATATATCATTGAATCACTCCCAACAACTCAATTTATTTATACTAAACGGTACTTGACAAAGAATACAATTCGAAAGCGAAAGACTAACTAAATCATGAATAATTGTTTAGTAAGAGATTCATATATAAACCTATCTCAATAACTCGAGTTATTGATCAATACTAATTAAATAGTTCTTGACAAAGGACACCTAACGACTAACTAAGCCATGAATAATTATTTGGTATACAAAGAGTGATATTGTTGATTGTTTCGAATACTAATGTATCTTAATGCGCCAAAATTTTCCACATAAAAGATTGTATTATGAATGATTAAAAAAGTTAACAAAAGCTATATTATCAAGCTATTTTTTTCTAAGTAGACCCAACTAGGAGAAATCTTGTCTACACCTCACAATCATGGGTATCGTGATTTGTCCACTTTATTTTAAGCACGCATCGATTTGTTCTTGGAAGTTTTATTTTTATTACCCAGGAATCTAAACCCCACTTGTCATTTTGTGGCATTTTCAAGGCCTAGCACCTGATACTAGGGGAGACTTCGTCTCCCGCACTCGCGGTG